ATCCCCCTGCCCAGGGACCCCAGACCCTGATATCAATAACCCCAGAATCTGATAACTCTGTCTGGGGACCCCAGACCCCAATATCAATGACCCCAGACCCCGAGAGCCCTGCCCAAGGACCCCAGACCCCGATATCAGTGACCCCAGACCCTGAGAGCCCCACCCGGAGACCCCAGACCCCAATATTAATGATCCCAGATCCCAAGACCCCTGCCTGGGGACCCCAGACCCCAATATTGATGACCCCAGACTTGGATATCCCCCGGCCCAAGGACCCCACACCCCTGCCCAGGGACCCCAGACCCTGGTATCAATGACCCCAGACCCGGATATCCCCGTCCGGGGACTCCAGACCCCCCACCTGGGGACCCCAGACTCCCACACCCCCGCCCGGGGACCCCAGACCCCGATATCAGTGACCCCAGACCCTGATATCGTCTTCCCAGTAACCCCAGTCCCTGTCATCGCTCTTCCCAGTGATGCCCAGACCCCACTATTCCCACTGACCCCAAACCCTGTTACCCCTCTTGATGCAATCCCAGTCCCCGTTATCCTGCCCCCAATGTTCCCAGTATTCCCAGTGCTCCCAGTGTTCCCAGTGTTTCTGGCACTCCCGGTGCTCCATCCCCGTGTTCCCAGTGCTCCCAGTGCTCTCGGTGCTCCCAATGTTCCCAGTGCTTCCAGTATTAACAGTGCTCCATCCCAGTGCTCCCAATGTTCCCAATATTCCCAGTATTCCCAATGCTCCCACTGCCCCTCCCAGTGCTTCATCCTAGTATTCCCAGTGTTCCCAGTGCTCCATCCCAGTGTTTCCAGTTTTCCCAGTGCTCCCAATGTTCCCAATGCTCCCAGTATTCCCAGTATTCCCAGTGCTCCCAGTATTCCCAGTGTTCCCAGTGCTCCATCCCATTGTTCCCAAGGCTCCCAGTGTTCCCAGTGCTCCCAATGTTCCCAGTATTCCCAGTGCTCCATCCCAGTATTCCCAGTCTTCCCAATGCTCCCAGTGTTCCCAGTATTCCCAATGTTCCCAGTGCCCCCAGTGTTCCCGGTGGTCCCAGTGTTCCCGATATTTCCAGCACTCCTGGTGCTCCCAGTACCCCTGGTGCTCCATCCCAGTGTTCCCAGTATTCCCAGTGTTCCCAATGTTCCCAGTATTCCCAGTGCTCCCAGTGTTCCCAGTGCTCTATCCCAGTATTCCCAGTATTCCCAGTTCTCCCAGTATTCCCAGTGTTCCCAGTTCTCCCAGTATTCCCAATGCCCCCAGTGCTCTATCCCAGTATTCCCAGTATTCCCAGTAATCCCAGTGTTCCCAGTATTCCCGATATTCCCAGTGCTCCCAGTGTTCCCAGTGCTCTATCCCAGTATTCCCAGTATTCCCAGTGCTCCCAGTCCCCAGTGACTCACTGGCCACCAGCTGGCTCACGGTCGGGGTCTCGGCGCAGGGCACGGCCACCGGTGCCGGTGGCACTTTGGCCACGGGCGCGGGGCTCGAGGCCACCCCGGGCGGGGCCGGCTGGATGGGCTGGACCTGGGGACACAGGGGCAGCGGTGACACCTGGGGGACAGGGGTGACA